CTGGTTTACAACCAGTTGAGAATCGCAAAATATTCGAAGGTGTCTAACCCCAATCATGCTTGCGAAATCCAGTCCTGCTAGTAAGGCCTCATACTCGGCTTCGTTATTGGACGCTTTGAATTTCAATCTGATTGCCCTTTCAATGATGAACCCTTCTGAGTTGGTTAGCACGATACCTGTCTCTGCCCCTCTTGCGTTCAAGGATCCATCAACATGAAGATCCCACAAATCCCCTGTCAGATCCTGTGATGTTGGTGGGGGCTCGGACGCAGAGAACTCGGCGACAAAGTCCGCCAGGACTTGTCCTTTTATTGACGTTCGAGGCTTGTACCTGATTTCAAACTCTCCGAGCTTTATAGCCCATTTGGCAACCATCCTGGACATATCGGCCCTGTGAAGGGTCGGCTTGAGAGGTCGGTCTGTAAGGACGTCTATGGCGTGAGCCTGGAAGTAGTGTCGAAGTTTCCTCGTCGAGACTACCAATGCCAAGACCGATTTCTCTATTGGAGAGTATCTTATCTCGATGTCAAGCAAGATTTTGCTTATGAAATACACGGGTCTCTGTGCCCCTTCTCTATCCCTGACCAATGCTCCACTCACGGCGTCTTGAGATACGAACAAGTAAAGGCTTAGCACCTCCCCTGCCGCTGGAACAGATAAAGTCAGAGGATGTTTCAAGTACTCTTTGATCCCTTCAAGAGCTCGACCACATTCCTCATCTCAAATCCCCTTAGCTGCCACCCTCAACTTGACAAAGAACAGTTTGCACTTATCGGACGACTTTGAAATAAATCTGTTGAGGGCTGCCAATATCTCGACCAATTTCTGAACGTCCTTAATAGTCTTAGGCGCCCGGACATTCTAAATTTCTTGTATCTGCTCGGGGTTCGCCTCGATCCCCCGATGAGTGACCAAATACCCCAAAAACTTTCTAGAGTTCACTCCAAAGGCGCACTTCGAGGAGTTTAGTTTTAGGCCATATTCCCGGAGGGTGGCAAACGTCGTCCCGAGATGGTGGAGATGGTCGGCCTCCTCTTTACTTTTGACTAACATGTCATCAATGTACACCTCCATCGTTTCGCCGAGCTAGTCTTTGAAAATTTTGTTCATCAATCGTTGGTAAGTCGCCTTAGCATTCTTCAACCCAAAAAGCATTACTGTGTAACAGTAGATTCCCCAGGGCATGATGAACGTCGTTTTCTCCTGATCTGATTCATGCAAGGGAATCTGGTGATATCCAGCCCGAGCGTCCATGAAGGTGATGCGCCTGTGGCCGGCTGTGGCGTCTACTAGCTGATCAACTTTAGGCAAGGGGTACTCGTCCTTGGGACAAGCCTTGTTCAGGTATGTGAAATCCACGCAAACTCGTCATTTCCCTTCTTTCTTCTTGGCGCACACGATATTGGACAGCCATTGGAGGAACTGTACCTTCTTGATGGAACCTACCTCCAACAACTTCTCCACCTTTTCATCCACAACCTTCGCGTGATGAGGCACCGTTCTCTGGGCCTTTTTCCTAACAGGTTTGAATGAGGAATTCACATGGAACCAATGAATCATCATCTCGACATTTATCCCCGTGATCTCGACATGGGTCCAAGCAAAGACATCGGTATTGTGGCGTAAAAATGAGGCCATATCATTTCTCTCTGTGCCGTTGAGCGATTCTCTTATCAAGAAATACTTCTCGCCATTATTTGGGCTTAGGAGAATCTTCACCAAGGCCTCAGTAGACCGGTCGATCGGCTCCATCATGAGCTCGTCCACCCCCGGACGATCGTTTTTTGATTGCTATTTGGCCACCACCGCATCGAGATTAGGCTCCTAACTCCGGCCGCTGACTCCCGTTTTCACTGTGGCATAGAAGCAACTTTTTGTCGAGGCCTGATCACCCCGGATCTCCATTATGCCCTGCGGTGTTGGGAACTTTATCTTCTGGTGGTAGGATGAGTGGACCGCCTTTATTGCATGTAACCACGATCTCCCTATAATAGCATTGTAAGGGGAGTCAAAGTTTACCACCACAAATTTTACTGGCGTGGTCACCACCCCCGCCCGTACCATGAGAATGATTTTTCCAAGGGGTAGAGCGCTGGAACCGTTGAAGGCGATGATGGGGGTTTTTACGGGTTCCAGATCCTTCTGCGAGAGTCCCATCTTGCGGAAGAGGTGATCGTACATAACCTCGGAGGAGCTACCCGAGTCCACCAATATCCTCTTAGCGTCGAACTTCCTGAGCCGCAACGTGATCACCAATGCATCCTCGTGGGGGACGACCACCCCACTTAGATCAGCATCCGAAAATTGGATAACCTCGACACTGCTCCGTGGCCTCTTGGGCGCCCGCTCATCACCCCTCTCATCCACCCTGACTGCTTGAGAGACTCTTTGCAACTCGGCGAGGAAGGAGTTGTATGTAGGCCTCTCCACTGTGCAGGCATGGATAACATCAATCACGGGTGCTACCTCTGCTGGCACCTCTGCTCGCTCCCTTGCCGAGCCGTCAAAACGACCCCTGTCGATGAATTCTCTGAGGTGTCCGTGTTACACCAATTGTTCGAGGAAGGATTTATAAGTCTTGCACTCCTCCGTCAAATGGCCGATATCTCTATGATACTAACATCAGAAGGCTGGATTCCTTATCGACGAGTCTCCAATCATCCTCGAGGGCCACCTGAAGTAAGGTCTGTTCCTGATTTTGGGGAGTATCCTGTGATTGGGCTCGTTGAATACCGTATTCACTCCTTGGAAGGATAGACGAGTTGGGGGTGGAATAGGCCCCCCTTCGGGACGGCTGCTCCCTTTCCTTTTTTCTCGGCGTCGTGGCCCTGCTTTCGGGCGCAGCGGACTCTTCCTCCACCTGGGCATATTTGTTAATCCGAGCCATCAAGTCTTTCATGTCCGCTGGAGCCTTCTTGGTTAACGATTTGTACAAGTCAGTATCTAGGGACAACTCCAGCCTAAACGATGCTGCGACCAATACCTCCGAACACGCCTCCACCTCATTCACCTTATCCCAATACTGGACGACATATTGTCGGAGTGTTTCTCCCCCTTTTCGCCTAAGCATCAGCAGAGCACCGATGTCTTTCAGCTTCTTGCTGCTGGTGATGAATCGAGCTAGGAAGAGCTCTGTCAATTGTCTCCAGGACCCAATGCTTTCGGGAGGAAGGTTCTCATACCACCTCATGCCGGTGTTCCCTAGGCTCATGGAAAAAACTTGGCCCAACACCCTCTGGTCAGTATCGTAGATTGACATCAATTGTTTGTACTGCCGAAGGTGGCTCTTGGAATCGGTTTTCCCATCATACACTTTGAACCGTGGGACGGTAAACTTCTTCGGCATCTTGGCCTCCCTGATAGCCCAGACGAACGTCAAGATAAATTCGTCGAAGTAGACCGTGGGCTCATGGTTGCGTTGAGCGATGAAGGGGCCCCAGGGATCCTTGGTTGATCTCTCCCCTAGAGGCCTTCGGGGTATAGACTCCGTTTGAGATTCGGCGGCTTCGACGCCCTCGGGTATCCCTCGGCTCAGGTCCCACCTAGACAGGCTTGCCTTCTGGCCCGATTTTGACTTTTCCTTGGTGGTTGAGAACCCTTCTCGGCGGTCACGTCCCTCGGGCGAGTGCCTAATCCAATCCTTCTTAGAGGGCCAATGCCAGGCGGGTCTGTCCAGGTTCTGGCTGGGCACCTGGTCCCCAACCCCATGACTATGCTCACCCGCACTTGCTGACTGCTCGAAATCGTCAAGACGTTGCTGGACTTTGGCGTTTTTCCTCTCAAGCTGCTTAATGCGTTTGCCCATCCGTTTTTCCACCATCTCCACGATGTCATGGGCCATGAGGTCAGGCCCTGATCCATAGGGAACGTTCTCTGCAAAGAATGCCCCACCCCATCTGATGGGCCCAATGAACCCTGCTCTAGAACCATTGGACGCTGGATGGGCTCTGCATTCCTGGCTTGTACACCTGTTCCTTCACCCTAAGATCGAGTGTTTACCATCAGACGATCGCTATCGGGAAAAGTGCTTTCGTTTCCCACAGACGGCGCCAAATTTCACGGGATGATTCCTGCAATCGTGTGAGGCAACGATCTCCCAGCTGACGAACCTGAAACAGCAGGGTCAGAAAACAGGGGGCCAGGCGTGTGCCCGGCTAATCCCCTCCGAAGCTTAAGTCAATATAAGATCGAAGGGTTTTGCTTAGTGAACTATTTTTCTAGTTCGAGTTTTGGTACCTTTGTCCATTTTTTTGAGGAATATTTATACCTGAATTAGCAATGATTATCAAAGATCTTCAGTCCAATCTGGACATTTTACATCGGACACACCATTCCTCGTGCAATGAGTGTTTTCTATTCACGTCTCCTCCTATTGAATCCTAGGAAAATGGGGTAAAAGCTCGGCCATGCGCCGAGTACCCAAATCCAGCAGGTCGGCATCTGACACCAACTGAGCATTGAATACTCGGCGGAACAGTTCCCCTGGAGAGCCGATCGCGTCGTCTCGGCGCATCCGCCATTAATGCTTAGACATCATGACAGTAGGCTTAGACTCCTAGAGGGCAGGTGCTGGCAGGCACGCATTTATTTGCCCTATCACTATCACTCATTCCGCCATAAATGTGAGCTCACATCGCATTAAATACGATGTCAGCGGTTGTAATTGGCCGCTCCGTGTCACCATACCTCGACTTCCCTCCTCGGCATCCTTTGGACATCCCAACGGCTTCCTTGTTCCACGTGTCAATCCGTGGGCTAAAGAGCCACACTAGAGTCCCGCTAGTATAGAAAATGAACCACAACCCAAAATAGCGTACCAATTAAGTTTATCTTCATCGCACTGTGGAAGATGTACAATACCGTGTCTTCGTCCCTATACCACGTACAAAATTGACTCACAATCTAGGAAACATTGGTTCAAACTGTAGAATTGTTGAAATCTACTTGTGTGTGTGTGTGTGTCTATTTGTTACACATTTTTGGATTGTGGAGGAACCAACATTATTGAAGAATTCTTTTATTTCTCAATATGATACAAAGTTTTTCTAATAAAATCCCAGGCAACCTCTCTGCTTGGAATTCTTACAAACCTTGATCAAAATCAGAGAGAGAAGCAAGTTTTTGAACTGAAGTTCTGATTTCCATTTCTGCTGTAAAATAAAATTGTACTGTAGCCATTCCTCTCTCTCTCTCTCTCTCTCTCAGCTCCAGCTGAAGCCATTCAAGTCGAATTGCTTGCAACTTGAAGCAGCATCATTTTCATCGTGGGCGTTTAGATCTAGTTTTGGAGAAAAATAAGGCAACTTGTATCCTTGCAGCATCTTCTCCATCTCCGGTTTTACAAAATCTTTCCTATCGCTGTTTTGCTCAAATAATTTGATATCTGCATCCATTCCTCTAAATCTTCCCTCCGAGTTGCTGTTGATCATGCCATTCCATTTTCCGCCTTGAAGTCCAATGCTCATCGATAAATTGCGGGAGTTTGTTTTTATAGAAAATGCTTCTTCTGCATCCTCATCCATTGCAGAAAGACACTTGCTGTGCTCCTTCATGTCTTCAGGCCATCTAAGATCAGCATGATTAAATGTTAGTCCATTGTCGATTTGTTTTGTCTCCATTGGTGAACGACGATGCAGAGGTGTCAACATCGGGTTATTGTGTATCTCTTGGTCCCTCAGAGAACCTTCACAGGATGTCAAACAGCTATCTACCGAACAATCTGTTGGCTGTGCTGTTTGTGTTTGCTGTGGACACAAACCTGACAGTTCTTTCGTATTTGAAAATGATGAATTCAGGCATTGGGTGGATGCTCTGGAGACCAGTTCTGATATCTGAACCTCGGTATCCTCTAATCCAACTGTTCCCAAGTCCTGTCTTCCCAGCGTTTCCTGTGCTTTCTCCAGCACTGCCTGGAGATACTTTCCTTGAGCCTCTATCCGGAGCTGTAAATGTCTTTGTACCTGTTTTAGTTCGGAAAAGAGATTGCTTAAAATGAACATCACAACAATGTCACTGTATTGGTCTTAGCATCCTATATAAATTCTTGAACTTTTGCAAATTTGGTTAGAAATGTATGTACAGGGGCAATTTTTCACTCTAAATATGTTAAGGAGGTCGTCATGAGCCTATAAACGTAAGAACTCATTGGTTCTAATGATGAAGGTGCTTGTCGTGTGTTCTGTGTTTTCAGCTGATAGTGATTTGTTATTGTTGTTAAAAGGACTATTTGCTACCGAGTTTTTTTTTTTTACCTCTAGCTGCTCATGTAGTCTTCTCTGCACTTCAATTTGCACCTGTACCGCTTCATTCATTTGTATGCTCCTGAATAAAACATCTCAAAGTTAGCGTAATCTCAATTTGAATAATTTTTTTTTCGAAATCCAATCGATGATTGAGAAACAGAATTAAATAACAGAAGTGGATTTTGAATTGTTACTTGTTTCTTTGGGGTCCAATGCTTGGATTGATCATGTGAGTTCCATTTGCATCAGATATTCTCTCTCCCACCACCCCTGCAATCGTTTCCGTATGTTATATTATGCCCTCTCCCCATTAATCATTGTAGTATTTAACAAAAAAAAATGTGCTAAAAATACTTGAACTTACCAATTTTGTTGGTTCCGTTGTTAGGTTGTCCATGGAGGTTCTTACCAAGTCTGTACTTCTGCAAAAAGCCGAAATGTGGAAGAGTTTAGTCAGTCTTTTTATTATATAACAAGTTAACAACCCCTAGCCACTGCTAACCGTCCTTATTCTTTCAAAACAAGAAGTACGATTTCTCAATCCTACAGTTGTTAGGCCAACACTTTTACCACTATACTAGACAATAGTCCTCGTTGGGACGGTAATTGGCAAAAAATTGGAAATGACGGTAAACTTATTTTACCTGAAGATGGCTCTTTAGGTGGTATAAGGTAAGACCTTGAATCCCCATAAGTTTCAAGACTGATTTGGGAGTAGCCTCTGAAACAGAAGAACAATGTTATCTCCAAATTTATAATAATTTCTTCTTTGTGCTAATTTGTGAACTAGCTAGACATATTGTAATGCACTCACTGTCTGCTCCTCCAAGCTGATTAACTGCTTCTATGAACCTCTCGTGGAGCTCTGGTGTCCATTTCAATCGAGGCTTTGCATCAGTTGAAAGAATAAGTCCTGAATCTCCTGCTGTGCCGCCATTATTCCCACTATGCATGAACAAATTCCTCTCTGGAGGGACACAACTTCTCGATGAAAGGTCGATGTTCTTTCCTTGATGGAGATGATGATGATACATTTTCTGTCTTGATTATGATAATTTGGAATTAAAACTCATGTCAGGAGTAAAATGACATGACCTATATATATGGTTATGAGTACTTGTAATTGTACCTGAACTTTTCTGATGGTCTCTTGGTTCAATCTTCTCAACCCTGAAATGTGAATGTTTGTTCTGATAATCGGCGAAGAAAGCTGTTTACTACAGCTCTTATCTAGCTCTAGTCTTCTTCAAAAAATTCTCACAAACTAAAGGTGAGCTCAAGGACATCTTTATACAGGACTTGAGCGAGAGAGAGAGAGAGAGAGAGAGAGAGAGAGAGACATAGGAATCTTGGACAGGGGTGACAGAACACGACTCAATCCAGACATTGTCATTCCATTTTTGGGTATCTGTGGTGTAACGGGTGCGCCCACCTTCACGATGTTTTTTAAACGCATCTTGATGGTTAAGGTAAGAATACCACATAAATAGCATAATATTTTCTTCATTTGTGATGTGTGACTTAGCACATACTTGACATCATTTCACCTTGTTTAATACGTCTTGATAGTCGGATCTCGAAATTCTTGCCCAATATTATTTTCAATATTGGTAAAGTCGGACTAATTACATAAACTTAGCACCTAAATCAAACCACATCTATCTCCACCACTCTAGGGTTGCACATCTTTGTGTGGGACCCATTCATAAAAAAAACCCCACTACGATACCACCTTGTAAGGCTCTAGCCCCACTATCAAGATACTGTTCCTTTTGTCCATACACTCATATTTTGAAATGCCTCTTGATGGTTGCGATAGGATCAGAGAGAATTTTACTTGGCACTCTGAAAGAGTTTAAATTTTTGCCCTCACACTAACTTCTGTTGATGTTTCCGTCAAATTTATGTACATCACGTGCAGTCCAATTGACGAAAATAGAAACAGAAGTTAGTGTAAGAGTTAATTTGTAACTATTTAATGTCGACATATTAAAAGCGCAATACAAGAAAATTAGGTTTTGAGAGTGCAAATCACATCACCTCATCTCAAACATCAACCTTGGCCCTTTTCTCACTACTCTTGCTCTGTTAGTGTCTTGGCTGCCTCAATGAGTTCTATACCACAACTCTACTTTCAACACTATCCATTTTGAATTCCTTTGCCTCTAAGTCCCTCAAGTACTTAACAACTGGTAATAGGAACTTGAATAAATCCACAAGAGAGGGTTTTTTTTCCCCAAATCCTGTGCAGTTAAGATGGTAATTTTGGACACGACAATTTAACATGACACGAATTCGACACCAAACGAATGACTTAGGGTTGATTATTTTTTGACAAGAGTTCCAAAAAGACACAATTTGTTAACAAGAATAATAAATGGGTCGGGTTAGTAGATATGAAATCTTGTAAAATAGGAAGAATTTTCACTTGTTTCTACTAGGTTGATTGGAATTTTAGTTTATGGAAAAACTATGAGTGGCGGTTTTTGATTGAGAGATAATGAGTCTTTATTTTTCGGTTTTCATTTATAGATTATACAGGCCAATTCGAATAATAAACATGTTAGGTTAGTGTCAAGACATTTGACACGATAAGTTAAAATGGGTTGAGTCGAAATTGACTAGAATTTGGATACGAACATATTATAACAGAGCGTTTGACCCATCCCAAGTGGTTGTAAAAAAGTATTCACAAAAGAGGGTGAGTTTGAAAGTATTTTTCAAACCCAGACAGTTTTAAAAATATTATTTGGTCTGACATTTTTAGGCCAAAAGACGTCAATTGGTCTGACGTTTTTAGCCTAAAAATGTCAGACTAATTGATGTTTTCTACTAAAATTGTACGCAATTCAATCACCTAAAAACGTCAATCTATTTGACATTTTTTAGCTAACCACGTCAAATGGACTGACGTGAAAGATCGAGAGCCCCTCCCTTGCCTGTTCTATTCCTTGCTTGCTTACCTTTTATTTTATTGACTGTCTTTTTTAGGTTTTTTTTTTTTTTTGAGTGGTAACACAATAGTTTTTTATTAGTCAATTAATTGGATCCATTGCAACTCGATCATGGCTAGAGAAAGATTCAATAACATGGACGTCCTTTCAATTTTAAATATTTTTTGAGACGAGCTGACATTTGAAAATTTTAATATATACAATTTTGTGTCTCATTGTTATAAACTTCTTAATATTTATAAAATCAACTATACTAAATGTTACAATTCAAACTCTCAGTAATTATTAGAATTCCCATTTTAATGATGTACATAAATACAAGCATCATAATTACTAGGATAATGACACTACCGAATTGAATATCAGTCAATCAATCAAAAAGTTTAAACTAATAGTAATGTATATAACCAGTTCTACAATATATATATCAACAATTTGTTGACTAATTCTTTTTCATATACCCTTCGGTAATATTTCAAAGTTAATTTTAAGGAAAATCCCATATACCTATACACAAAATTAAAAATAGTAATATTGCACTGACCAAAACAGCAATACTATAGTGAAAATATTAAGAAGTTTATAATAACTAGTATAGTTGATTATATAAATATTATAAGAGTTTGAATTGTAACATTTAGTATAGTTGATTATATAAATATTAAGAAGTTTGTAACAATAAGACATAAAATTGTATATATTAAAATGTTCAAATGTGAGCTCGTCTCAAAAAAAATTTAAAATTAAAAGGGCGTCCATGTTATTGAATCTTTCTCTAGCCCTGATCGAACAAGGAGGGGCTCTCGATCGTTGACGTCAATCCATTTGATGTGGTTAGCTAAAAAACGTCAAAATAGACTGACGTTTTTAGGTGATTGAATTGTGTACAGTTTTAATAAAAAAACGTTAGTTAGTCTGATGTTTTTAGGCTAAAAACGTCAGACCAACTGATATTTTTTAGTCTAAAAATGTCAAATCAAATGACGTTTTTAAAACTGTTTGAATTTAAAAAATACTTTCAAACCCACCTTTTTTTGTGAGTATTTTTTTACAACCACTTGGGTTGTGTCAAAAACTCCGTTATAACATGATACGAACACAACTCAATTGCCGCCCTTACGTGCAATCATATTCGTTTCCGGCAAAGTTAGGAACCTTATTCCTTTGATCTGATCAGAGTGGAACTTTCGGACACGGATGGGAGGAATCTACCATGTTTTGATGTCCTGAAAAACTTTCAAAACCACACTCTTTTTCTTTAAGAAGATTCCATGGACAAGGGAATCCAGAACTTGGAATTGGATACACAAGAGAGAGGTTGAAAAATGGTGGAAAGATGCTTCTCCTTGGGATTGTTTGAAGGCCAGGAATGGAATAAAGGAATTCATTCCCTTTTGTCTCCTTCAGTAAGTTTGGAACTTATTCAGTCTAGATAGTATTAAAATGGAGGGAGGGAATGGGGTCCCAATCAAATCTTTTCCATTCTTCAATTTAGAATAACACAGCAGGTACCGGCCATCACGGGGCTCTAATATTATATATGAGTATAGTGCTTAATCATTGAATTGGGATAGGTGGGTAGAGTCGCTGACGGGAAAGTGCTTTCAGTGTGTTAGTGTTGTCGATAGAGTGTTCCAGTGTGGAAGTCGGTTATGAAAGCATGATGGACTTTTACAATCTTATATCGGTTAAGTACGAGCTTAAATGCATGTGTATGAACTCTTATATATTCTGACAAAAAAAAACTCTTATATACATTTTCCCCGCCGGGTGGGTAGGACTGATAATTAAGTAGACCTACTTGAGCTCGGCTTGGATAGAACTCGAGCTCGAGATTGACTCGTGTTTTAAACGAATCGAGCTTGAACAATTTTTATTAAACAAATCTAAAAATGATCAGTTCAAGCTCGCAAAGCTCGATTCATTTATATATAAAATAGTCAAGCGAGCTTGAGTTTGGCTTGTTCTGTGCTCGGCTCGGGTTCAGCTCATTTTTTAAATAAATCGAGTTTGAACAATTTTTTAGACTCATTTAAAAAAATAAATTCAACAAGCTCGGCCGATTACCAGTCTTTCCAGGTGGTTTTTAAGGGTGAGTTTGGAAACCTTGGAGAAGAGAAGATAAAGGATTGTACTTGCTATGGAAAACATTTACAAGCCCTGTCATGAAGAGGACCACTTCCCTTGCACTTGACTGTTCCTTTAATGGGATTTGCAGATTCTCTGGTATATCCTAACAAGCTTTAATCCAGAAACACAACAGAATAAAGAAGGTAATTGACAACAATGAGGTATAGATAGACGGGTTCCTCTATATTTCTCATTACAAGTTTGCACAAATAGGCCCATATAATAGACGAGAACTCGGACTTTTAAGACACGATAAATTCTCATCCTTCCAAGCAATACGTCACAGATTCGAGTCTCGAAATTTGGCCCCTTAAAATGAGGTGAGACTGTCTCACTTACTTCTGTCCTCGCAAACCCTTCTAGGCAAGAGCTTATACATTGGGGGCTCATATCTATTATATGCCTATTGCTTAAAATTCAATCTTGAACTTGGTTATACAGTGTTTCAAGGTCTTTCTAGGTGATTTGGGATGATTCAGTATGTTTCGCCCAAAATTTTGGAAACGTATTTTTAAATTTTTTCTTTATTTTTCCTATGTTTTTGAATCGTTTTCATTTGCCGGCCGATTGAAAGGCGGAATCTCACTTTAAATTAATCATTGTCACAATATGGCTCTTCGGTTACTCATTTGGTCAAAAATAAATCTATTGGCGTTGATAGAATAAGTAATGGAAGTTAACAGAAGGACCATATTGTAACAATTTTAATAAATTAAGAGTAGAATATGAAAAATCTAGCCTTTGAAGGCAAAGTGCAAAATCTTAAATTTTTCGAAATGTAAAGTGCAATTCACCCTATTGAAATTATGCATCAAAACAACATTTTAATCTTTAAAAGCAAAGTGAAATTTCTCCTTTGTTGAACAACATCTGCACGTTGTTCCCATCAAACTTTACAAAAAGATCAATTGATTCTGATATATCAGGACATTTTATACTCTTTGGAGGAATCTATGCAAGGACTTTAGGTAAAGTGATAAAAAAGAAAATTCCTTCATAGTTTGGTGGCATGTGGATAGGAATAAATTGAACAGAAGGGTCAAGATTTTGTCTTGCCAGCTACATTACATTGTTGCATTGCTGGGCCGAACTTGAACAATTTGACAAGCTCGGCTCGAATTTGCAAAACTTGTCTCAATTATCAACCCTACCTCTTGGTAAATGAAACTATGTCTTGTCATTTGGTCATAAATGAAGGGACTACCCACTCCTTGTTATGTAGTGTTAGGGTTGCAAAACAATTGTGTAAAGA